CTTAATTTAAAGCCCTCTCAATCAGCCTTGCTAATTCATGGGCTAGAATCCTTTGCCCTTGATAGATGAAGCCCATCTGGCTCTAGCAGGCCAGGTGCTGTGAAAGTTGCCCCATGATCAAAGAACCCAAAATTCTGCCAATGACACCAAACCTTGAGCCACCTGTTGATAATGTGGGTTCTCCTGTTCCTTTCATCATTTATCCCTGCGACCAAAGGGACTGAGCAGAACACCACCTGTGCTCCTGCCCTATCAACCACTTGATGCAGTGCCCTAAAGTCCCTTTTAATTACCCTGACAGTCTTCTTTGCAGTCTCATCACTGCCAGCCTAGAGTATCAGCAGTGGGTAATAATCAGAAGGCTGAATCAGCCCAGGCAGTCTCTCAGTGATATCTCGAACCCAGGCCTCAGGGAGGCAGTAGATCTCCCTGTGGGATGGGTCTGGTTGACACATGGGGCCCTCTGTCCCCCTCAGAAGGGAGTCATCCACTAGGACTGCCCTGCTTTTCTTTTTAATGCTAGAGGTAGTGGTCCCTCTGACAGACCAAGTGTTATTTTGGGAGGCTCCCTGGGCAGACAATTTTCTTCTACATCATCTGGCTGACTCTCTGGATCCAGGGCCCCATTCCTATTCTGAAGTGGCACCTGGGTAGGTGATGGGGGCCAGGAGGAATTTTTATTACCTCCTTGAGGAGGGAGCCATTTCCACTCCCCTTCATCCACCAGGTGCCCTCCTTCTGCCTGATGGTAGGAGACAGGGGAGTCCTCTGACTCATGGTGGGCTTCTCTCAGGGATGGAAGGGTGAAACTCCACCAGTCTATTTCCCTTTCACTTTCCCTGATACTCCTTGGTCTTTCTACTTCCTCCTTAAGCTTTCTCATTCACTCATGAACGTGAGCAAAAGCAAAACAAGCCCCACTCTTCAGGAAACTCTGCCTGGCTTCCATAACCTGAGGAAAAAAGCAGGACCCAAATAGAACAAAAAATGCTCCACAATCCCTCACTTGGAAACAAGAGATCACCAAATTGAAGGCAGCTGCCCAAGGCACTCATAACCAAATTATTCTTGGAATTGCAAGGAATAATACAATTACAGAGAACCCAATCAAAACACCTTAGCTCAAAAACTATGCACCGTAGTTCAGACTGCACTGAAAACCAAGAGACTTTTCCTTAACTTGGCTGCTGCTCAAAATCATATGGGCTTTCCAGATCATGTGTCAGAATATCCCATCATCTTGAGCAGCTCAGCCAAATTTCTTTGCCTCCCCACCCAAGAGCAGCACCAGTACTTCCTCCCCTTCTGCTGTTCCCCTCATTTTGTGGTTTTCCCCTCATTTTGTGGTTAGAGGTTTTTCTCAAATCAGCTGTTTCAAACCTACTGCTCCCAGTGAGGATTGACAGCACCTTCTTATGTGACAAAAGCAAATGTTCTCTCCTCTTTTAGGTCTAACTCAAATCCAAATTGCTCTGCAACTTCTCTTTATATTATCAAGGCTCACAAAGCCCTCCCTTCCCTGAACTGCATCTTTGGCTTTAGAGTTTCATTTCTCAGAGTAAGGAGAGGAAGATTTCACACTGCAGTACATCACTACAATAAAACCATCAAAACACTAATATTAATAATCTGCATGTAACACAGTTGTTAATATAAAATAGATGCAGCATGTAACTAATTTTTCCAGATTTTATAGGTCTGTGATCATGCTAATCTGTTTCATATGAAGGACTCATCCCTTTATTTTTAGATGAAAGCAAATGTCTGTGATTAGAAACAGAAAAACCAACTAAGGCAGACAAATACTGGACATATATTCATGAGACTGTAGCGCCTGAAAAAGGCTTGGAAAAAATCTCTAACTGAAGTGCTACTGAAATATTCTGTAACACCTGATTAATTATTATGTCTCTCTTTCAAGATATAGTTATATCCATTAATGAAATTTAATCCTAAAAGGAGCTGGCAACCAAAACCACTACAACAGTTTTGGCATTAAAATACATATGTCCCCTACACCTCCCTGTAATTGAGAAATGAGATTTAAATTGCAGATCTGTTTTTCATAATAATGGTTTCTTATCCCCTCCAGATATTTTTGCCATTGTTAAAAACTGAACTAAAGCATCCCAGAAGATGCTCCCACATGTAATTGCCATCTTCAAAATTATAAGCAAACGCCAGAAACACATATTCCATTTGGCTTATCTATTTTAGACCATTTTTACCATATAATTTTAGATTACATCTGTTAACAGGAATCCTTTGTCCAGTTTTCCATTTACTAAATATCCACCCACCTCCTCCCCCCCAAAAAAGGAGTAAATAATGTCCCCCTTTATTTATCTGTTCTAAGTAAAAAGATGAAGAAAACAAAAAAGCAAACAAACAAAAACAAACAAAAACCCAAACCAAAACAACAACCAAAAAAACCCCCAAAAAACCTTGACACTTTCTAGTACTGCCAGCATCTATGACATCATTAATTTCATTTCACCAAACCTAAACCTCATTTCTGACATGCATCTTTCTTTTCTTGAGTGTGAAGGAAATGGCAAAATTTCATTTAGCTCAAAGGGACTGAAAATGCAGCAATGATGCAAGATGAGGCTTTAGGTAGCTGAAACAAAGGAACCAACAATTTAATAATTTTGCTATGTCAAGATATTACAAATAATGGTAGTTAATATTTTATGGCTTTGTGTTGTAGCCCCTATGGTGCTGCTGTTGACTTTTCAGGTACAGCTCAATGTCATTCAGCAATTGTAAACCCAGTCACCTTTGCACTGAGTTGTCAAATCTACATAAGTCAGTCTCTCTGAGAAAAGAGCCCACTTACTATTGGTGAAAGTATGATTAATAGATAAGCTAATTAAAATTCTATTTTGGAAAGCTTTACCAAGGCATTTTTAAAATTTTTTTTCTCTTTACTCAAGACACATAATCTTAATTCATAAAATCAAATGCCCAAGGTGAAGGCAGCACTGTGCCAAAGACACAGTACTGGTCCTAACACTCCAGGTATTCTGAAAGCAATTTGCAGCTCAGGAAAAGTGCAACATCTCTGGTTGCTTCAAAACTCTGCCCTCCAAACCTCAGTGTTGCTTTCTCTGATCCAACTGACCTAATGATCTCCTAATAGCCAGGATAAATTAATTCAAAATCCCACTGGATATTTGCCTGGACCTGTGCTTCCTGCTGCTGTCAGCAGCTGAGAAAAGGGGACAATCCCCTGGGACCTGGCACAATGAGGAGCAGGTCATGATGGCTTTTACCATCTTTCTGCTAGGTTAGGCCAGTCCTTCAGCCCAGCCTCTCACTTCTGTTCCAGCCCCTGCACGAAGGAGAATATGGCAGCAGAATAAAGGAATTCAACAAACATTTCATGTAGATAGAGGAGTATTCCCAGTGTGAGGAGCACACCTGCAAAGCTGTCTTGAGAAGGTACAATTGTGCCAGCCCTGGCACAGGGGCAGACCCACAGCATGGCTGCAGCACTGGCACAAAAGGAAGCATAAAAAGGTTACTAACACTTATTTTCCAGCCTTTTGAGCAAGGCAGATTATGTCTGCTAGGAGGAATTAATCAGACCTGCCATTCCCATTGCTCTGGTGTGGGCAGCGCCACCCTGAACCAGCCTGACACTGCAGAGCTTCTCAAAGCTAACAACAGAAACAGCTGGAGCTGAAGCAGCAGCTTCAAGGACACTGTTCAGAGGCTACCAGAAAGATGTAAAGAATGTTTAAAGCTGTGGAAGATGAGAAATGGCATTTTGGGTTTATAAACAAAGTCTAAGACAACTTCTGGAAAAACAGAAAGACTTCTTTGAAGACAGGTCTTCTCTATGGAGGAGTTTGAAGACAATCTACATTTCAAGAGGAGAGGTTCCTGCAAAAACCTCTCAGAGATAATGAGCAAACACTACTTGCTGGGTTATGTTTTCTGGATAACTTTTTTCCTGGTAGATACTGACTCATTGAAATGCATACTTCATTGTTCAGTCTCCTTTTACTAGCTTTTTTAGCAGATGCTTAATGAAAAATAAATCAGTGACAAATGCATCATGACTTAGCCACCCCTATAATTTCTTGAAAGTCAGTTTCTCAGACAATGAAATAAAAGAGAAAAATAAAGAAGTTCCCATGGTCTGTTAAGAGCTAGAAAACAAGTTCAGCTTTGTCAGGAAATCCCACCAGGGCTTTCCAGAGAGCTGCATGGGATTACATTTTCTAAAGGACTGAAAAGATTTAGGAGCATGTCCCACTGATAAAAGTGATTTAAACTAACAACCTTAAGCACAGTTGCATGTCCTGCTTCATGCTCTGTCTTGCCCAGCCCAGTGAGGGGTGGGGTTCTTGCACAGCTCCTGACAGATCGAGTGCAAGGTGCAGTTTCTGCAGCTTCAGGATGGAGGTGACTGTCCCCGAGCAGGAAGAGCAGAGGGGACAGGAACCTTTCCTGGCCAGCACTGGTGGGGCAGGATTGCCCTCCCAGGCTGGGCTGGGAATAGAGCAGCTCCCCTTCTGCTGCTCATGGCTCAGCTTCAAAGCAGAACTTAAGGAAACTGCACCTCCTGTGCTGCCAGCCCCTCCGGCAGGGGCCATCTGTCCCAGGGCACCACATGCCAGCCCCAGACACTCTCAAAAGCAGATGCCATGACAGTGGCTTGCAGGCTCCCTGTGCCACATCCCTTTCTCCTGCTCCAGTCTGTGTTCTTTTCTTGTTCTAGTGAGAAGGCTTTTTAGGAGAGAGGCAAGGCATACAAAATACTTATGAAAGTAATTGAAAGTGTTTTATTCCACTTGCACTTTTACAACAGAAAAACTATTTTAAAAAATCCACATCTGCCATGGTATGCTTGACCTAAATTCTTCAGTGCTGTTCATTCATTTTGTGAGACTAGAAATAAGTCCTAAATGTGTAAAATTTTAAACATGAAACATAAAAATTGATGAACCTGTTAATGAACTGCAGTGTTCACTTTAAATGGATGGATTTTCTGGTGCTTTGTTTTTTATTGACAATAAATTACCATTCTGTGTCATGTAAACTTGTGAACTTTCACATGGGATAGGTAGAAGTGCAATTTTGGTCTAATAGTTAAATTAGGTAGATGGTTAGGTAGATGGCTCTGTTAAAATATTTTGCATTAAAGGAGCTTTTAATTTAGGATTTGTATTGAACCATAATTTAAAAAATGCAAATACGTGATTGGATGCCCTCCAGCTCTCACCTGCTAGATAAATCAAATAAATTTGGTCTAACCAAACTCCGAACTCCTGATAAATGCCCGTACTCGATCACAAATCAGGTGTCAAACTGGAGTGAATGCACTGGTATAAACTGGTTGTTTTTTCAGCATAGCTGATAAAGGTATATAAAACCCAAGCCAAGCCATTAAGCACATGTATGTGGCCCACAAGCAGATTTTAGCAATAAGTTCTACCTACTCAAGCTTTTTGTTGGATCAAGAGTTCACTTTTTACCCATCCAAAGCTCTATTCCAGTTAAGAGAAATGTTGTCTGAATTATGGGGCTGAATAAGAAATTAATATGGACCCTGACTTCTGGCCAGACATTGGCACCACATAATTTCTTTGCCATTGCAATTCTAATCTGCTGTTTGAAGCTCATCTCACTACAAGTTTCCTAGGAAACAAATTTAGGCTCACATGTACATTAATGAGAATGGCACCTCAGGTAAGTTTGGTTTCAGATGATGGACTCGCCCTGCCCTTCACTTTGCTTACATTCACCAAACCTGACACTGAAAATGGTCCAGAGTTCATGGGAAAGACTGAAAGGTCTGTGCTGCACCTTCTTTGTTCACTGCACACTTCTGTCTCCGTTCAGAAAGGTGAACCTTATTGCTTCTGAAAGTATGTTTTCTTCTTCCTGAGCTTTAAGTGGATGGCAGTTATGACAAAACCTGCCAGGGTTGCTGCTGTGCCAGAAACCAGGTAGGCAATTCCCAGGAATGGGTTACTTCCACCACTCCACACCACGGTTGAAAGAATCACGTGCTTCCTCCCCTTGAATTTGGTAACAGGGAAATCTGAGAGAAGGATGTTAAGATATAAAGCTTTCCAAGGCATAAAGAGTTTTGAGGTCTGCATTTGCTGCCAAAACTCCTTTAACTCATTGGTGATGTTTCTGCTATTCTGGATCCAAAAACCCAGCTGGTCTTTGGGAGGTGATAGGCAGCTGGTGGTAAAAAACCTAGTTATTTTAGATACAGTCTTTGTGTGCATGTGGAAATACTTCCTTTTTCAAAACACTGTAAATTTCAGATTCATTATTTATAGGACTGCTACTGCAATAACTTGCTATGAAAGCTCAGTTGAAAATGGGACTTTTGGGAAGCTTATCATGATACTCCACATAGTCTCTGTGAGAGTAAGTGCTCAGCTCTACCTAATATGTTGTAGCCAGAATGTTATATGAGTTTACCTTTCCTCTCTCCCATGGAAGCTTTCAGAATAGCACCATAACAGAACATTTATAACCACATTTCTATCAATTGAGAAAGAAGAGGAATTCATGGTCATGTTGACACAACTCCTGCTGACAAAAGGAGTGCTTTAGTCAGCAGAGTTCCCACTGTTGGCTGTGAGGGGGCAGATCACCAACACAAAAGCTCTTGTCAGTCAGGACATGGCCCAATCCCTTGAGGGCTCTCCTGACACAAGACTGTTCTGCATGACTTCTTTGCCAGTTGCCCACACAAATCCTATTCACCCTCATGCCACTGTAACTCTCTGGGAGCCCTGGGGAATGTAAAAGGATACTGTAGGAAATCCTGAAAGTGTAATTCCCTGCTGGCAGGCCCTCAGCAAAGCGCCGAACGCGTCTGAGGCGCCGGTAGAGATTCCGGAAGGTGGCAAAGGCCGACACTCGCATCCAGACAATGAAGTCATCGTTCACATAACCATTGTTCCTCTCATCTTCCTCATCCAACAGGTACGCTGGCTTCTGCCAGTAAGGAGGTCTGGCTGTGCCTGGTCACAAAGAGACAAAGCAGGAAAGACACTGTCAGTAAAAACTATGGTTGCTGAGATTCTGGGCCTCACATAACCAACGCGGAATATGAGCTGTGGAAGAGACATAAGACACTGTCCAAAATTATATATACATGTGCCAGATAACAGCATCTCCAAGCATGTCCACTCGCCTCAAACATGAATTTACAGTTTAACAGTACCCAGGGGCTGCTACACATTAGAACCTTCAATGCTACACACTAGAACCTTCTCCTGCAAAGGGGAAACAAAGTGACTTGCACAAGTGAAAATGCTGTTTATTCTGGATTCCTGTCTCTTCAGCAAGCAATATGTTCTCTATAATGAGGAGCTTGCCCTCATTTTTACACATTAATATATTCCTGTACAATCAGAAAGGCACCTTTTTGCAGCCTAATGGCACAGCCTATGGCATTTAGAATCTGTCCCATGAAAACCACTTAGATCATTAGTTCTTGCATATTGCACCCAGCTCAGCACTGCCCTGATCCACAACAGGCAGGTTTTAGCCCCAACTCAATAGAGATCAACCGTAACAAGGAAACAGCCCTAGGAAACAAGTCTGAAAGAACTAGTGACAAAGGCAGCCTCTCATGTCTCACAACTTCCCAAGAATCTGCAAAGGCATGAGGGAAAGATGAGATTTAAAAAAAAGCAACTGCTTCCTTCTTCTCTGGACAGATTAGGCATTATAAGAAGAAGGGTGTTAGTGTGGGCACTACTATAAAAAAGGGTGTTGGTGTGGGCTAACTTCAGTCTTCCAAAATAATTTTTTCTCAATTTCTATGGTCTGATTAACTGATTAAAGAAGTTAAAAGGTGGTATCTTGGCTAAATATGCCTTCTGCTATCAGTCACCCTCTAAACCCTGCTTCTTCAACTTGCTTTCTTGCTATTTCTCCCAAAGGTAATTTTTCTGAGAATGGGAGACATATGAAGGGGGAGATAGGGAAGCCATTGAAAGATGAGGACTGCCAGCAGAACCATTCTTACCTGCAAATGCAGCAGAGAGATTGGATGACTCAGGATTGCGAAATTTCACATTTTTGTCTGTCCACCAACTGTTTCCAGTCTTCAGCAGTGGCACTTGAATCACAGATGAGTTATAATTATAAAACAGATCAATAGTATCTGCAGGGAATACAAAAAGCAACATCTGTGAGTCAAAGAGAGTCATTCTAATTGCCAGCATGACTAACAAAAATATGGCACATTGAAGCATCTTTCAAGTGGATAGAAAATCTGAACATCCCGGGTGTGAATGAAGCACTGCACATTTCACAAGAAGAACTAAGGTACCAGAGTCTTAGAACTACTGTAGTTTTAAAGACTGAACATTTCCTACCAATCCCTGTGTATGTTGTGACTGCTTCTCATGTCCATCAACTCCTGTGGGACCATCTTCTTTGCAAATCACTTTCTGAACTCTCTAGCTATTTACAGAAGTTACTGTTCCAGTTTCCCCTAGAATTTCTTTGACAGTTGTCCCAAAACTTTGCTACACATGATGTGTTTTCAGGGACTAGGGTAGAGATAAAAGCACAATCAAGGGAATCCAGTCCTTTGGAAATAAAAATTGCTTTAGTTTTATGCCAGTTAGAGCTTGCTTACCAACTTGGACACAAATATTTTCTTCAATAAAAAACCATTTAGTTAAAATTGTGCCTAACCATGCCATCCAGTTTCAATAGGTGAACAGCACTTGTTTTTATCCATTACTATTTTCCTACATAGATTAGTTTAACATAAGGCAAAAATATTATAGGATGCATTAACAGCTCTGTAAACCCCCAGGCGGTCAATGGGATGATGGGCAGGGACAATCAGATGATACAGATGGGGAGGGGTTGCCTTTTAGGAGACATGAAAAGCACAACTCAGCTGCATAAGCATCAATGAAAACATACTTTTTCTTTTGTTTCCTTCCAGAAAACCTGTGTTCACACAGCTCCTTAAAACTCTTCTGGGAAATGCTCATTTTGTGGCCCAACACATCCCCAGCTATTTGTCACCACTTCATTAACAGGAATTGTAATGCTCTGAGCTCTGCCTGCTCAGTTGCTTGTCTTGACTCTCCCTCCCAGGCTCCAGAACAGTGTGAGCTGCACACAGCTGGGCTCTGCTGGCCTGAGTCCAGGTCTGAGTCCAGGTCTGAGCCCAGCCCAGTAAATCCCACTTCCAGCAGCAGGTGGGTAAGCAGGCAGACAAAAATCAAACGGATCTAGAAGTTACTGAATGCAACTGGCGTTCACAAGTCCCCTGGTGTGGGTGGTGCAGCTGCTTGGAAAGAGCTGCTACCTTCTCAAAACCTGTTGCATGGAACAGGTTAAAAAAAGGGTGAGAGCAAGGAGTGGTAGAAACTGGAAGACAAAAACGATGGGGTAGTGGAGAAAAGCCTGTAGTTTTTTTGTTGCTTTTCCTTCCAAAGATACATTCTGAATCTCCCAAGTGTATTCAGAAACAGATTATGCCCACTAGATTACTACAATGATCAAATCCATGATCAAATTAACACTATGTATGCTTCCAGCATTCTAGAACAAAAATGAAACTGGGTAGATCCAAAGTAATGCAGAGAATGTGGAGAGTCCCTCCTTCTAAGCCCATGATGGTGGGAAGGCAAAATCTGGGCTCTCCCATCATGGTATAAGAATGTGCTTTTTAGCACATTGTATGGAGAAAAGACTCTTTTCCCCACATGAAAGTATGGGGAGATCAAAGTGTTCAAATTGTAGGTATCAAGCAAAGGCCTCCATGCTAAAGTAAGCAGAGGTTAAAGTAGCTGTGATCCTATGAGAAGTTTGAACAGAGGAGAGAAGAGCGATGAAGATCCTGTGCTGCCAGGAAGAAGATGATTTCAGATACAAATAATGAGAAAATTTGCCTTTAAATAGCTCGTCTTTAAAACAATACCCCATAAGTTGACATGGCCCATAAACACAGCTGTGGGAAAAGCTTGTGGAACATGGGAGTGATTTCACGACTGCAGATTTCCCTGGGCAGCTGCTATTTGTAGAAATGGAGAGCCATGAGAGAAATGTTTTCTTCTAGAGAAGTTTCCGTAACATTAACAACAGAGACTTCTCTCCCTAAGTGAATGAAGAAAGACTATTCTATCCAAGAAATCTCAAATTATCAAACCAAAACCACAACACTCTCCTTCTAAGAACATGATTGTGGGAAGGCAGAATCTGGGCTCTCCCATCACTGTACAGGAATGTGCTTTTAACAAGGAAGCACATGAAATCTGTTGTATCCTTGTTTCAAGAGGGCGTAAATTCCTCACTCCTGCTGTACACTCACATGGAAGAGGGCCTTAGAAAATGAGAAATCTCCCTGAGTTTCCAAACAAGGGCCAGTTACTAACAGTAGGAAGCAGAGCCTCATGTTCATCAGAGCAGCACCACCAAACAAAGCCTTTTATGGGAGAAAGTGGAGGCCTTGCACTACCAGCTCTGCCCTGGCCTGGGGAAGGGAACAGTCTCCGGAGGGAGTCAGGAAGGGGCAGAGGAAGGTGCCACGTACCATTGAACATGCTGTTGGCAATGGCCCCGCATGGCGCCATCGGGGTCCCGTTCCTGTAGGTGCTGAAGGGCGCGCAGTAGCTCCTCTGGATCTGCATGCAAGCCCACACAACAATCAGGCACAGACCTGGGGTTTGCTTTTAATTGGTGTCCTCCCATGCCTTCTTCTGAAAAGTCACTGAACAATTAAGTCTCCAGTACCTTTTGGTCACATTAGAGAGACATCAAATGAATGGGTCTGTAGTTCAGGAACACCTTCCAAATCTAGGCACAGAAACTTAAGGTCTTCACCAAATTCTGCTGCCGACTTGTAAGCTCCAGACTACAAAAAACAGGTTTGGGGATCTGCTATTGTAAAATGGCTACAACTGAAAAAGTTCCAGTGAAGACCTTATTTTACCTTCTTTTTAATTCTGACCTGGGCTCAATTAGTGCTGGAGAACAGCAGATGTAGTTGGCCAAATTACTGCAGGTCAACAAGGCCAAATCTTCATGTATGAAGATACAGAATGAAAATCAGAAGTCCTCAGCCTTACCACATCTTTCCTACCCCATTTTATAAGAAACTATAAATCTTCAGGTTTCAACACAGAAACATTTTCAAGTAACTCCAAAGAGCTGTGTGTCTGACGGGCACAAAAACCAAAAGCAGCTGCATATTTACGCAAACAAACAAGCTGACAGGACACCTGGAGAGTTTTAAGAAGCGTTTTATAGAAATGAGGAACATGTCTTGAGAGTAGTAAGAAGCATTTTAGAGAAACAACAGATTACCATGGCACAACCATCATATGTACAGAAAGGACATGTGGACTATGTGTATATTAAGAAATGCTACTTTAAGCCAAATAAGATATGCTTTAGATTTGTAAGCAAAAACCTGAATGTCGTGATTGCATTCTCCAGTTCCCTTATGCAGGTCTGCTGCAGGTGATGCTGTCTACTCCCTCTTTAGACTTCTGAATTGCATACTTAGAACACTACATGATCACTTCTTTCAGAACTAACCTTTTCCTGCTCCTTTCCCACTTCCAAAGCCAGATGGAAAAACTAAAGACTTAGAATAACTTTATTCCCTAGCACAGCTTAAAACACTTCTGGCTAAGCAAAGTGACAACACAAGAAGGAAAAGTTTTCTGCATATTTATTTGAAAAAGACAATGTATTTTTAATCAGCCCTACAAGGTGCAGGTTTGAGAACTGCACGACAGGACTGACATCTTTTATTTACCCCCCACCCCCTTCAACCTTCCTCTCTTATTAACTTATTAGGCATAATGGCCTGAACAAGCATAAAAGCCATGACCAAAGACTGAAAATCTGTACTTTATTACTCCCTAGAGCCACTTAAACACACTTATGGTTCTCCATATGGTCCAAGGCACACCTGCTGGAAGTGCTGCTGATCTCACAACAGCAAAAGAAAACTCACATTTACATTTCGGCCCAACAGCTGCGCGTCACTTCTTGATTTCACATACCGACGGTGGTTTTGATAGAAGTTTTGCAGACCATAGTACATAAAAACATCACCCTAGAATCCAAGGATAAATCTCTTCAATAAGGAGAGTTCATGAAGGCAATAAGAAATCTTATTAGTTGCTAAAAAAGAGGAGAGGAGAGTACTCATATTAAAATGTCTGTAACTACACCTTAAGCAATACAGCAGTCAGGGGCTAGAATCTAATCTTTACCCTAACTGTAAGTTTTTATGTTTTGGTACAAAATTGAACATAATTTAAATCACCAAACAAAACCTGATAATTATTTTACACAAGATGGCATGGCTGGCCATGAACTTGCAATGACTATGAATCATATTGTAGAGACAGACATTCATTTTCCATTAAAGAAGGTGCACAAAAACCTTCACATTAAAAGAAGAATGGTGGACAGGCAAATCATGCATGAAAGATAATTATGTAACTATACAAAAGCCATTACTCAGTTAAATTAACTTCTCATCTCAAACATCACTGTAATCTGAGGAATTACAAAGTATTTTAACAGCCTTCTCAATACTGAAGAATCCTGAAGTGACTTTAAATTACACTGTCATTTTAAGGGATCATTTATTCAGTACTAAGTACAAAATCTCTTTGGCAGAACGTGAAGCATTTTAACAGTCTCAATAACATGACCTGGTAGTTTAAGGAAGGAAATTAAGGATATTTTTTCCAAAAGAAACTTCAGAATCACATTGCTAGAACTTGAATTATTTCAAGGACCTTGGGGATTAGCAGCACAACTCTTGTAAAAATGACTACAGGGGTCTATTTATGTAAAGTGGTCAGAACTTCAGATTTCCTTCTCACTTGAAAGTTTAGCAGGGCAGCAACAACCAATCTCAGGCCCAGGGCAAGGCTTTGCCACTGACTCAGAGAGAGACAGAGAGAGGTCACCTCCACAATCAAACACCATTCCCTCCACCCCCTTCTTCTCCTTGGGCATCTCCCAACCAAGGGGCCTGGTCTTGATTATAAGTACCAAAATGAACAATACAGGCAAAATTGTAAAATTTTGAGCATTACATCTTCTGAAAAAGTACAAAGCAAATTTAGTCAGGAGCTCTACAGAACAGAATTACAGTCTTTTATCATTTAGGGATATAAGTAACAGGTGGTACACAGCAACCTGAGTTGGTTTTTGCACTCACCAATATATCTTCCTTTAGCGTGAAATTAATAGAACAGTGGCATTCCTTATTCCAGTTAGAGGAGTTTTCACGGAGCTTTGAACAATTTGAGCATTTATCTGAATAATCTATCTGTCAGAGAAGTGAACAAGCAAAGGTATTGTCACAAAGAACATGCTCATAGGAAAAGGTTAGTGGTTTAGGTTCAAGGCTTCTCAGAGCTGTTCTCTTCTAAGTGACCCTGGACAGCCAAAACCACTGAAAATGAAGAGGCAGAGTGAGGATTTGGCCTCAATGAACAACCACAAAATTTATCCCTATTTTAAAGCTGGTTTAAAGCCTTTTGGTTTGCAGAACTTTCACGTCTGCTCCTCAGCAAAGGAGTGCTGAGTTAAGAACACTCCTGCACCTTGGGCTGGCTGACCAAGCAATGCTTGACAAATCCCCACATGCATCATGGCCCATCCCCACTGAACAGCCTGGGGGTAGTGCTCAGGGTTGGCTCCAAACAGGAGTCTATTCACAACACCACAGGTCTGAATAATCTTTTCTGCAGGAGGGATTTAAACATGAGGACTCCTTGTATTTCAAGATTTTGCCCAGCAAACATGTATGTTCTCAGAGCGTCACTCTCTGAGGGATTTGCTTATTTCCCTTCAAAACTCTAGAAGATAATGACAACATTTTGGCAGTAATTATCACCCATATTTCAGATATTACCACCCAGTGCTCTGATTTTATTGATGACCGACTGCCTCTGAAGATTTTTACAGGAATACCAGGTGCTGGACACATGTTCAAGGCATAAAGCCATTGCTATCATCTTCACTCAAAAGCAAAAACTCAAAGCCTTTTCTCTCCAAACCTGGCCTGGTTTCTAGCTTACAGAATATCAAGGAACAGCACTCCCAAACCAACCTGTACTTCTCTGACGCTGTTTGCAGACAGGACAAGGCAGACTCCCACAGTGAGGCAGAATGCCCCAGTCAGAAAGAAGCTGGAGAGCACAGATCCAATGGTGAGCTGGGGCTTCCAAGCTGGCAGTCTCTGCTGTTTGAATGCACTGTTATCTGGACACCTGGAAGGTTGGGCTTCTCCTTCTCTGGGAACAACACTTGTCTTGTTTTTCATTTTCTTCTTGGTGAGAGAAAGGAGTAATATCCTTGTGCTGGAGAGTGTTTCAGCTGAGATACTGTCTTTATTGTTGGGAGACTGTATTCGTTGTTCAAACTTGCATTGTGGTGAGGAATTACTTATTAACTAGATCTCTCTCTTCCTTGTTTCCTGTACTTGTGCCTGGATCCCCATGATCAGCTTGTACCAATCAAGTGATTGTGTACTTTGATCAGGGTGTCCAGTTCATTCCTCCTGGAAAAGCTTAGATATATTTTTCCTGCTCCACAGCTCACTGGGATTTGTTATGACTTACTCCTTTGCAGGGATACTGACAGCTATACTGGGATTTCTGTGTAATTTCAGATGCATTATTTCTTCTCCCTTCACTTCCATAGCTGCCCAGCTAACAGGCAGGGCCTACAAGGATTTCACTAGGGAAGGACTGAGACAGCACTGGACAGAGAACATGGCTTTGGAAGACCAAACCAATTTTTTTAACCTATTACATTCATTGCTATTGTCTGAGATGCAATTACAGGTTGTAAAAAGGTTGTGTGTTCTTTATCATAGAAGGACAACTCATTTTTAAAATATCCAATTTGGATCAATGGCTTTCCAAGATACTGATGATTTCCTCATCTCTATTCATCTCATTCTCTGAAAAAGAATCCATCCATTCCCAACTGTCTGCAATAACAAAAGAATCACCCAGAGACACCTCGTTTTAATTTAAATGGACAGATATAAGAATATTTTTTGCACACTTCAACAGTTTAACCAAAATAAAATCTCAGTATAATATCCAGATAATTTATCATATAAGAGCAAAAAGCAGCATTTGGTTAGCACTAGAACAGATAGGTGAAAAATACCTTTTCATCATGTTACTGAAATTCATACAACTTTTTCAAAGACCCCCCCAAGAGCAAGTAGATTACCACACTCATGACAGAAATACACGTCTCATTTGGGACAACACAGGGAGGGAACAGAAAACTGAGCTGTGCAAAGACATTCACACTCATATTTGCTCATCTTCAGTCTTACTTGTGACATGTAGTAGTACATCTAGCAGGTGAAAGCAGTGTAACTCTGGTTTCAGTATGACATTGTTCCTGCAATAAAAATAATACTAGAACTACAAACATAACATCTAGGTTTTTATTAAAAGAAAACTCAGAAAAAGTTGCAATGTGCCTTCTGTATTGAGACCTCTGAAAAGTCAAAATTCAGTTGCAGGCAGGATAATAGTAAAATGCAGCTGCAAATTACTTCCTTGTTGGTAAACTATTAAAAGAGTCCCAGCTTCACAGATCCATCTCTGCACAGCTTTATAATACTCTTCTCCAGTAGGTCAATTGTTTCTTTCTTTATCTGAAGAAAACAAAAATCAAAGAAAGCATAAGAAGTTACTGATAATGATACCATTATTTATTTACTCAGGCACTTTACTATAGAAATTAAAGAAGAGATTCCTATACAAGGTCCTCTAGAACATTGCCAGTTTTTAAAAGACCCATCATTTGCCCTGCAGCCCTGAAGAGCCATTTCACATGGCCACAGAAAGTTTGTCATTGGCAGAGCTGATAAAGCACACCACAGCAAAGGGCCCATCCTGGGGCTGCACAATCCCCACAGAACTTTCCAGAGCAACAATTGGCGTAAAGCAGATGAAGGACAGTGCAAGAGGCACAGCCCTGTCTGTGTCTGAGACACCTGAATGAAAGTGAGCATGAAGGTCAGGTCTGCTGTGCTGCAGTACAAAGTACTTTGGTTTATGACACTGATATGGCCGTGGCTTATGGCTTATCTAAAGATAAAACAAATGCATTACAGAGTAAATATTGACTACATACTTCAGAGGGAACACAAGATTTTTTATGCTTAGTCTAGAGTTTCCTTATAGCTCCCTCTTACCACCTACAAATCCCTTGTTTGCAGGTTTTCTCTCAGGATTATATTCTTTCATGCCTCCACTTTGCAGAGGAATAAATGATGTAAGAAAGCCCAGCCAGGCTCAATTTCAGACTGGATGTGCTATACAAAAATGAACACAGTTGTCTTTCTATCACAACTCCATTTCTCACAAACCTTTTATTTTCATGACATCTGCAACTTAAACTTAGCATATTTTCAAATTTTCTGAAGGCTTGGTGTGTGTATTGTTTATAGACAATACAATATTGAGTTTTGTTGAAAGGAAACTTGTCCTTTGGTCAGATCAAATATATACAATCCATTTTTATTTACACCTTTATGCTTTACTTCAATTCCAGCATGCCAAGACAAACTCTGATAAACTCATTCACTTCTCCTGTGGTTTCTTTGGGAGCTTTTATCTCCTCTCTCCATTGTTTGGGATGAATGAAGTGGGAGACACAGAAACAGAGAATGAAAAATCTCAGCAGCATTAACTAATGAGATGCTGAGGGAGCTGACAGAGCAGTGGATCAGGGCACCATCCCTTGTGTGGATATGATGACATACAGAACTGCCATGTGGGACGATCCATGTGCTTTTAAATTCATATATTTATTAAAATATAAATACAATATTATAACAATTATATTATAATGTTATATATTATAATATTCTAATATATTAGAATATAAATATAATTCTGTGTACATAATTCTCCACTGAACATTGTGTGACTACCAAAACAGCAAGTACAATGGGCATGTGCTTCCAGTTGTTCTTGCTTTCTGGTTTAAACAAAATGAAATTCAGCAATGTTGCACCTTAAGTATGCAAAGAAATTATTGATAATTGAGGTTTGCACTGAAAATAGGCCAGTATGCTGAGTTTCTAACTTTAAGTGTACAATTTTGCCTCCATAACGAACACAGGTAAAATAAATTAGTACATCAAACAGCCTACTCTAAAAATTGCCTTTGCTACTGTATTTCCTCTCTTTGAGACAACTTATGAGTATTCATAGCATGTATCTGACATTTTTCTATACAATTAGAAAAGCTGACTAGGACTGTATTCTATATTTGAAGCCCACAAGTTGCTAGAACATCCCATTGGTTTATATGTGATGTTAAGCTATCACCAAAACATTATTTGGGTGTCTTTCGCTTTTGACATTCCTTACACACAACTTTAAGGAAACTTCCTGATGTCTGCAGTGGGATAAATACCTGCAAAATACTTCACTTACAAAGTCCAAGATGTTAAAAACCTGCCTTTATGATGTGTTCCATGAGCCAAGAGCAGCTTGAAGACTTTTCTGTAATTATATATTTGCTACTTTGTAATCACACATAAATATATATTGCTTATCCTAACACAATATGTGATGGTCCAGTGTTCTTACTTACCCAGATTTAACTTGAACTAAGCTTTAAATTTTTATGCTAAGACAACCTTAGTATTTTGCCTTCATAAAACAGACCAAGAGTCACAACTTTAGGCCTATATTTCTAGACAGACACATAGAACGACCATGATGCTGCCTACAGTGAACTGAAAGGTATACCTGAGGTTTGCAATAGCCCAAAATGAAATAGTGGCAACATAATCTTCGTTTTTTGGAGGTGGATCACCTATGGTCTACTTTATTGATGTTGACTTCAGCTAACTTAAAAAATCCATCCCACTGCCATCAACACCTTTTGTACGGCCTGTGATTTTGTGTTGTACTGTCTGTGATTTCATTTTTTTCTGTTCTTTAAAAAACTTACAGGTAAGTGCAAGCATCACGCAAAACAAGCCTTATGTATTGTACAAAACAAACCTTATGTATTAGCCACAAGAGGGAGCCTCCTTGCCGCCAAAAAAGCAAAGGCAGGGTTTTTTGCTACTTCATTTCTTCAATGTATTTTTTTAGTTTTGTTTTGTGTATGTGGGGCTGTAAAATGCAGCACATTCAAATACTTATACAAGTACATAAATGGATTAATGACTGATAATTTGTTTCACTTGTGAAACAGCTTCATATTTATATGCAAAAGAGTAAGCAATCTTTTTTAATGCTTATATGCAATCTTTTCCCTGGAGATTCGTTCCATGTATGGGCCTGCTCTAAACGCACAAACCTCAAGACACTGTGCAGGAAATTGGGGGCTTTCTAACAATCATTAATGGAGGAAACTGCCTCTTCATCTGGCTGGAAATAGGTGATACCCCACAACAGAATGTGAACACAGCTTGTTACAGCAAGAAATACAAAAGCAGGATTACAGAACTGGAAAGAATTGGGAATTATTTTAGATGGAGTGCACAAGTGATGGATGGGTCTAAGTTGTTTGTACTCTACGTCTTGTCAAAAGAAACAAAAAAGAAAAGAAAAGGACAAGAAAGACAAGAAAAAAAAAAACCCAAGAGAACTGTCTGTAGATTTACTATGTTGCTCTCAGGTGGAGAAACATAGACGATTGGCCATAGTTTTGTTTAGTTTTTGAGGAAACTTTTCACTGAATCACAGCATATGCTGAGTTGGAAGTGACCGAGAAGGATCAAGTCCAAATCCTGGCCCTGCACAGGACACCCCAAGAGTCACACCCTGTGCCTGAGAGCACTGTCCAAACACTCATTGAACTCTGTCAGGCTTGGTGCTGTGACCACTGCTCTGGGGAGCCTGTTCCAGTGCCCAACCACCCTCTGGATTAAAAATGTTTTTCCTAATATCCAGCTGAAACCTCCCCTGATATAACTTCAGGCCACTAACACAGGTCCTGTCCCTGGTCAACACAGAGCAGAGATCAGTGCCTCTCCTCTCACCCCCACATGGAATTTGTAACTGCAGTGAGGGGTCTCCTCAGCCTCCTCTTCTCAAGACTGAACAGCCCAAGACACCTCAGCCCCTCCTCACAGGGCTCTCCCTCGAGGCCCTTCTTCATCCTCATTACCCAACTTTGGACACTCATGCTGTGACCAGAACCACACACAAGATCCCAGGTGAGGCCAGCCCAGCTCAGAGCAGAGCAGGACAATCCCCTCCCTGCCTGGCTGGCCATGCTGTCACTGATGCCCTCAGGACAGGGTTGGCCCTCCTGGCTCCAGGGCACTGCTGGCTCAGATTCAACTTTCCACCAACCAGGACCTCCAGGTCCCTTTCCATGGTGCTGCTTTCCAAGGTCTCATTCCCAGTCTGTCTGTACATCCAGGGCTGCCCCATTCCAGGTGCAGAATCCAGCACTCCCCTTTGTTAAATTTCACACAGTTGGTGATGCCCATCTCTCTCATTTGTCGAGGTTTAGGACTCTGTACAAAATTCTCCTGCTGAGGGAACTTCCTAGGGACAGGTAGAATATCCATGGAGCACAAACAGGGGAAACCACAGCACAACCACACAGCTGTGACTCGCAACAATAAAGGAAAAATTCTTTTCAGGAAATAATTTTGAGACCCAGGAGTACAGACTTCTCAGCCAATGTGAACTTCTTTGTGTTCCTTTCCCACTGAAGACAGCTTTACAGAAAGAAAACTTTACTGACCAAGACCTGAGAGCTACCAACAGAAGTACTTAATACACAGAATAGAACATATACAGGTGCTTATACAATACCTCAGGGATGTCCATCATTCTCCTCAGTTTCTGATCTCTCCAGTTCCAATCCAGAATCATATATTTCACAGAGTTTAAGCACAGGACATCTAAAAGGGCAACATAATTTTTATTACCAAGATAATATTACATGTGCTTATCAAAATGATTTTTGGCTTTTACATCTTTTGCTGTCTGTTTCCAAGGAAACTAATCTTTGAACACTTAAGTACTACATTTGCTGCTTGGAAAACTAAAGCACTGACACTGCAAACTCCCTTAGCCACATAATCTCATGCCTTCTTGGAAGATAAACACAAAAGCAGAAAAACTACTGCTGCCAGACTTGTCAAGAGCTTAACATCCTGCCAGAAAGTAATTCCTCAAGCTTCCTCTTGATCAAACTACAGGAGTTGAATTTCCACAGCTGATGTCACTGGTAAGTTACAAGGACCCTAACCTGAAAATTGATGTTAACTGGAATAGACAGTGTTCAGCAATTCACAGGACAGGGTGCTCTGTGAATATGAGTCAGGTCAGTGGTGCTGCTGAAGAATTTCTTTATCCTTCAAATAAGTGGTGGTGAAAAAGAAGGTCCTTTCTGAACTTTCTGAACTTTTCAGCTGTTCTCCTATTTTTTCCCTGGTCTTCTACATGATGCTCACCATTTTTTCCCATCAGTTTTGATTCCTCTCCCTTCCCTAAGTGTCCCAGCACTGCAACACTAAACTGTCAAAAAAGAATTAGAGCTTGGGATAAAATTTAACATTTCCAGGGATGGGCCATCCACAGCTTCTCTGGGCAACCTGTTCCAGTGCCTCACTACTCTCATGGCAACGTGCTGATGTGCTGAGCACCAACATTTAATCTTGGTGGAAGCAACAAAATGATGTTACTCCTGCACTCTTTTGGAAGGAGCAGTAGAGTCCCAAACCCACTGCCTGATGTCCCTGACCAAGAGACCACAGTCAGAGCAAAACAGTGTCTTGCATAAGAGCAATAGAAAGAATTGCCTTATCATCTTGTCATTTTGTTGTTTCTTTTTCTTTGTGTACATGCTGTCTATTGAGTAAGTAAAAATATTCAAAATTTAAAAGATTTAAAGAGAATAATTACTTTTATTACAGGCAAATGAGAAATAAGATCAAATCAGCAAGCAGATCTTTCCTACACGCCTCACAAAAGTTTACACTAAGCTCACAGTAACATATGATACAGTGACTTCTGCCACTGTTCCCTTTTGATCCACTTGCAGTGTTTGGTTTCCTGGAGCTTTAAATCTCACATTATGGTTTTGCAATCACTTTCAAGTCAACATAAATCAGTATTTCTGCCAAAAGAGGAAGTCCCCCACCTCTGCCTGCTCATTACCTGATTTTGTGTGCGTGCTGGTTTTGGTTTAATTGGGGTCATTTCACTGAGCTGCCACACAGACTCTTGGGCTTGCACAGGGAGCAGGAAGAGGGAATAAGCACTGACTGGCACTGAGAGGAAACATTTCTCTGCCTTTCTCTGCTAATACTGGCTTATGCCAACCTAAAGTGATCATAAAACAAAGCACCAGAACCTTGACCTTGTTTTGACTGACATAGCACAAGTGAAGAAAGAGAACCATATAGTTTAGTACCCAAATCTACACGTTCATGTCAACCTAAAAAAAACCAGTTTAAGTTTCACTTCTCATGAGACCAAATAGAAAACGCCTAGGAAGGAAACCCTCCTTGTTCTCCTACCTTGCTCCACTAGTGCCTTTACTCTCCCAGGAGTTCCAACCCCAATGTGGAACATGCCTTTCTCCAACATATTCATTTGTTCCTTTATCTAATTTGAAGACAGAAAGAAAAATCAACAGTAAACCCATAATTGTCTTAAAATTTCTTCTCAAGGAATTGGAAATAAATTCAAGATCTCATTGTATTTCTTTCTAGAACACCATCAAGTAAAAAATTATATTTGCCTTTCAAACTGTCAGATGATTATATCTGGAAGAAAGTTTAAGAAATATAGCAAGCCAGCTGGGCATCACACTTCTCTAGAGGTTCAATCTTTTTTAACTTTAAAAATCTGCTATTGCACCAACTATTTTTGGAGGTGAGAACAGCAAGAACCCTTCAGCATTTAAACAAATGCTCTGGAATACTGAAAAACTTGAATTAACTCAGAAGTCCTTCAAGATTAAGATACTGGAAAAAGGTGAAATAAAGCAAATGATATTTGCGTGTTTGACAGCATTTATATCAAAGGCCAACTGTCATTCATTATTCCCAATAATTTGTGCTTTCTAACAGGTGTGAATACTGGGGATCCAGGCATTCAATTTTCAGAATCCAAGTGTGGGTGGTGGACAGTTTGCTTGCACGGAGCTGTGTGTGTGAGCCTGCTGGCACTGAAGGAGCACCTGATGGGGATGTGAACAGTGGAACTCAGCAGGTGCACAAGCATCTGCGCTCTGCACAGAGCTGCACCAGAGCTACTGGAGATGGTGCTCAGTGAAATTCTTCCCACTGCAGCAATGGGCTACCAAAGGAAGCACTACCTAAAGCAAGGAACTTCATATGAACACTGTATGAAAGGCACTAGTGCCAAAGGATTTAAAAAGAAAATTGTATCACTCTATTTAGGTGTTTACTTGCTCTATTAAAATTCCCTACCTTTATGTGCTTTGCAAACAACTTGATGACTCTGCAATCTCCTTTAAAGGCTGTCATTGACCTAATAATAAAAAAAAGAATGGTGAAGCACAAGAAGCAGGGCTGGGCTTAAGACCACACATGAGGAAAGAAAAACCAACTGGCATTTCTCAATACATTTGAGACACACACAGTCCCCCAGTGAACTCTGGTTGTACTCTGAACACTGTGTACATTCTTGTTTGCTACTCACCAACAGAGATCAACAACTGGACAGACAGAGTGGAAGATATCAGGGCAATACTGTTCAAATAGATTGTCAGATAATATTTAATATTACAGACTGTGCTTTCACAGCTAGATTAGTTCAAAACTGGTTAATCACCAAATCCTAATTAAAAAATGATTCCGTTACTGAGATAAAGGCATTAATGAATATGAGTGTGTGTGCAAAAAAGGAAGGGGCTGTGTATGGATAAATCTACATTTCAGTCTTTCTGCAGCATGGCTGCTGGGACAACCTAGGATGCCACTGTCTTTACTGCAGACATTGTCCAAATTCCAATTAACCAAACTAATTTGTTAGAAATCTTGACTTGTTTTTCTGACACTCCATTTTGGCACACCATAACAACTCTATGTTTTGTATTCATCAAACAGGAGACAACATATTCAGTATTTGTTTAATGTCATACTTGTTCAATGCTTGTTCTGCACGCTTCTTACAGTGCAAAAAATTTTTAATTTGCAAAGCTAAAGGTTTATCTACATCTAAACCACCTAAGTCTCAGGTGCTAGTCTCTGCATGCATGACTGGCACTTATCTGCCTTATCTATGCTTACATCTGTGTCATGGAATCAAACTTCCCAAATCTCCATCTCAGTTTGTACTGACAGATAAGTAGGGTCAAGACATAGAAGACAAACATGAAATTTGTGAGGTATCCATCAATTCATCAGAGTCATCAAAACTTCCGGCGTGAGAAGTGAGAGGATAGAGAAGGGGAATAAACAGTGACAGGGGACACTGAAAATTGTCATCTCTGCCCAGCAGTTTTGCCAGCCTGAGCCAGCTGAGAACACTGACATAAACATGGAGGCACTCAGGCCAGACACACCTTGGCATCTGAGGCCCTGAAATGCCATGTCTTCACTGCCTTTGGTGCAAAGCCTTGACTTCTAGTGGTGGATCATGATGCTTTATGGGCTTACTCTGCTCCCAAGTATAACATGTTCCATATTTCCCCTAAATTGATTACACTTTACTTTTGGTTTTTAACAAAAGTAACACTTCCCAGGCAAGTGAAGTCCTGAGCATTACTTGAGTCCAAATCCGAACACCATGTTCCCAGAGTTTAAAGAAGGAAGGGATATTGCATCAGTTTGAGGCAGTGAATTTGCTGGCTAGCAGAGGACAGTGTCCCAGTTTTGCCTTTTTGCCTGTGGTTCCAAGCCAAAACTGCTGACCGCCTGCCAACCTCAACACAGCCCTTGCTGCTGACATACTTGATGAGCTCCAAGGAGCGCAGGGCAGAGCTGCAGAGAACCAACATCACCAGTGACTTCTTCTCCTTGTGGTTCCTCCGGAGCTTCGCCCACTTCGGACAGACTGCAATGGAAAAGCCCTTGTAGCCACAAAAAGTACTGCATGCCACAGTTTTAAATTACTAGAGTACATGATGAATGGTAGCCAGCAGCAAGAACACACATGCTGACTCCTCTGAGGTCTGGAACTTTGGCATCGCTTTAGTATTTAGTCATGGCTGAGAAACTGGAAAATGGAATGCCCAAAATAAATAAAATACAGAAATATCACATAACTGAAGAAACTTGATAAGCATTAACAATCAACAGTTTTTAAGGTGATGAGCTTATTGTCTTCATTTGCCACATATGGCAATTTGTATCAGAGAAAACCATCTGCAAAGATACATTTACCAGACCAGAAGTTCTATATAAATATACAAAAAAAAAATAAATTCACTGGGTTCATGTCAGCAGACAGCTGCAGGACTTTCATTCTAAGATAATACATACACCTACTCATGAAGCCACAATAAATTACTGACAAATAATCCCTAGAAATTATGAGAAAGCCTAGAACATTTTTGATACAAAAAAAAAGGAAAAAAAAAGATAAACTAAATAAGAACCAGAAAAAAAAGACCTGTCATTAAAAAAAATTAAAAGCCTTAAAGTAATTAATATTTCATAATAAGCAATATTTGGAGCTACATATAAAATTGCAGTAGTATTGTCTTAACTATATTTTTCATACAACTTTCATCCAGACCAACATTTAAACTCACTTTCCTTCAGGTATGAAGAAAAACTGTGGGTAAGATCATTGGCTGGCAAAAAGCAGGAATCTGAAAACATAAAGGAAAAAATATTTTTGTGGTGTATTTTAACAGCAAAGGGAGAACATATGTTTGCAGTAAAACCACTAGTTATGTTGATGCAATCCCACCTTCATAAATCCATCATCAATAAATTACCATTTCTGAAACAAAAATTAACGTAGAAGAAACTTTGTATGGGTTAAATCAATGAAGGTAACATCTCTGAATTTCAATTTATTTTTTTCACCCAGCCTGAAACCTTGAATACTGGGCTGCAGTACAGGTGTGATCCCATGCTTTAAACAAAGTTTTCATATGTCTTTGTCACAATGAATCAAAGCCTCAGCCAAAAGCCTTACACCCCTAGACTGTTCCTTCAATGCACCTGTGATGAAATATGTTTGTACGTCCCTCAAATGATTCATACTATGTAAATGCAAGAATCTACCAATAATTTACTTGTCAGTAAGTTTGCTAATCTTCTGGTCTTCCATATTGTGGCAATTCACCTAACTATATCAACTCTAACAGCAACATCTCCACAGCATTTTCAGTGCCCTGTCTTCTTCCATTTCCTGCTGACCTCCTTCTCTCTGGTCACTGTTAACAGTGTCTTTTAAAAGCACTCTGTGGCAGACATGCCATTTAATTTCATATAATGGCAATGGAGGTCCTAACAGGTTCTTTGGAAGGTCCTTTCTCATGCCTATACAGAAAATCAAAGTTCTTAAAAAGGAGATTAAAATTCCATGGTTTGAAAACTTGCCACTGTTGTTGAGAGCTCTTTGCCTGATGGAACAACATGCTTTTGCAGAGCATTAACAATTCTTCTGTCCTCAAAGGCTTACATATTTGTCACCATCTTGCATGAAGCACAGCCCCTCAGGGTGCCCATGGATGTTTGCTAATCCATTTTCTAAACTAAGGAGGTTTCTTCAAAGACATTATTCATGCTCACATGGATGGTGCACTGTGCTAATGCAGAGAGCATCCATCCAAGATCTCCATCAGAACAGACAATGTGACAAACTTGCTTTGTAGCCAATGCCTGGCTGAAGTCCTGTCCTGCAAAAACTTTTATTTTGCACTGATTCCTATTAAATCCTGAGACTGACATTTACTGGAACTTGAGTTTCAAAGGAAATGAATATGGACAACTGAAGCCTCAGCAGCTGATTTACTTTAAAAATCATGTTTAAAGATGCACTTGATGCTTGTGGGGATGGGCAGGGGCTGATCTTCTGAATACATGTTCTCATTAATGACTGACAGCTCAAGAGGTCCTTTCTGAAGGACACAGCTTCAGTCACTGACTCCTCACCAACAGTGCAGTATTCACAACAGTTTTAAATAGAAGTTTAAGTAAGGGAGGAAGAAACACACAGCTCCAGACTGCAGCAAGAGACTATGCTGACTTTCTGACCAACCCTGACCTTCTGCACTTTGCCAGTGAACAGGGACACACCACTCCAATGTAGCTGCTTGTTATTTACTCGGTGCTTTGACGTGAATGACTTGACAGCTGTACAAGTTCATAAACTCCTTGGCACTCTAAGCCTTCAACTCCCAGAAAAAAAATTAAGGAAAAATATAGCCATCCAACACATATGGAAATGGGTGACTTCAGTAGCCCAAAGGGCTCTTTTAATAAGAAAGAAACCAAACCCATTTATTATTTCCTAAAAATCTTATATACCAAAAAAATACTTAACACAAGCTTTTCAAAGAAATCTATATGGGATTTTTCCAGGTTTTCTTGATCCAGTAACAAAGCTGAGACTGCCCCACAGAAATAATGAAGGGTTCACCTAGAATCATGGGAATTAAGGAAGAGCACCTAGAGAGACAGGTTTATGCATTAATAAAGCAAAAGCACTGCTGGACTAGAAGGCTCCTGCATTGGACACAGGTCACTGACAGTTCAAGAAGTCCCAAAGGTGAGTGCAGGTTGGTACCAGGCTGCTGCTCTTCATCATCCCTACCAACAAATAATGGACAGTGTCTGCACAAGAGAGGCAGAGAAGTTCAGCGTTGCCATCATCTCCAATGCAACCTCCAACTGACAGAAGCTAAGCCTGCTCTGTCCTGCTTTTTGCCTCTTCTATCTGGCTTTTAACTGGAGGCAGGATACTGGGAACAAAAAGAGTGCCCATGGCTAAGATTTGGTAACTTTGCACATGGACCAAAATGATCACCTCGATTCATGCCACTCCCTGACAAACCACTGCATTCAAATCTCATACCCATATGAGAATGATGCCTCATTATTCCTTTGTCTATTTCTGGCAGCCCCTTATTATGCATTGACTCAGATAATCCCAGGAACAAAATACATCTCTCACAGCATCTTCTTGGGAGCTACGATTAGGAATCTTAAAATTATTATCAGAAAATTCAGCTCCAGAAATTAATACTTTATAATAAAATGGGATATTGTTCATTGCAATGTTTTATTTTCATTCCTCAAAGAAACCTCACATTTATTCCAAAAAAACCAACATTTCAACTTAAACAGCAAATTAATATACAGTAAGACAGAAATATAAGAAAATATGTTCATTAAAAAGTATAAATCAATTATGTCCCAAAAATCTTCTTTCCTCTGCAGAAAAAGAAGTCAACAGTATCATGAAAAAAACAATATTTATATATTAAATACAGGATAAGTTACCTGACAGCTTTAACTCCTCTATTTCAATCACAGACCGGTTTTCACCAAAATGTTGACTAAGCAGATTTTGTAGATCTGCAGGGACACCAGGTTTTGGAGCAGATTTTTGCAGAACATCAGAAATCTTCTTCTAAAAAATCCAAGTAAAATGGATATTAATATGGTATTTTTATACAGCTCTTTGGCCAGCTAACATCACTGTATATAAATGCTCCTCCATATCTTTATACAATTATATCAGTTCAATTATGGCTTAATTGGGAAAACAACTTACAATGGGCCAAGATTCCCTTTGTTTTTAGAGGGAATCCAGACTTCAGATGCAAGCTGAGATACTTGCACAGGATGGACTGTGAGCCTGAACATTAAAAATCTTGTGCACTCACCTGAAATGCTTCTGTAACAAAAACACAACTGAAAGCTCTTTTTGAGTTTTGCTATTGCTACACTTTAGTATCAGATTGAAAGTTCAGGCTTTTTTCTGCCTAATTTGTTTTAGTTTATTATTCTTAAGGCATAACAACAGGAATCAAGTGATAATATGTGATGTGGTTATATTTTGATTTAAACAGGGTAACTATCTATCTATATTTGGAAGGGAAGATGGTTAGCTATATGCACAGAATACCACGCCAGGGTGATGAAAATGAGTTAAAACAACAGAACCACAGGTCAAGCAGCAGGAACTCACAGCTGCTTTGCTCTTCCACACTGTAATTTTTTTTAAAAACTAATAATTTTTAGAGACTGAACATGAGTTCAAAATGATTGTGTTCTGCACCTTAGGAATGTTACTAAGTAACAGGTCTGAATTCTCATCGAAGTGAAAGGATTGCTGAATTTTTTGCTGTAATTAAATGGAATATGTGGTTAGAATAGCCCAAGGTTCCCATTGCCAGCACTTAAGAGAAGGAAATGATAAGTATTTTAGAAAACAGCAAATTTGCAAGGACAGAGGCAGTCTGGAGAGAATGACAAGAATGTGATGCCTCTCTAGTTCTTGCTGAGATGTGTTTAGATTTTGAAAGGACAATTCAAGGTTTCTTAGCTGTGTAAGCTAAACTGAACTCAACATCAAGGGAACAGACACGTGGTAGCATAAGCAGAAATGAGAAGGAGCAGAAGGGTGTGGTCAGGGTGGAGCAAAGGGGTCTGTATTTTTGAGGCAAAGTGGGATTTCACAGAGATGAAGTGGATCTGGAAAAATGTTTGGCAGCTTTGGAGGGACGGTGGGTACCTTTAGTTTGGCAGGCTGAGGCTCAGGACAGCAAAGATCAATCAAAATTTTGAAGAGAAGTATGGCAGGAATTGTAATGTCAGGGACAGACCTTCTTCCATCCATTCTTTCCCTCACTCCATCTCAGCACCCACTCCCTCCTCTCTTCCATCCCCATCACTCTGTCTGTCCCTCTTGCGCAATACACCCCAAACACTCCAACCACAGCTGCAGGAGGGCAGAATGCTGAACAGGGAAGGACCATCTGGGGCTGCCAAAACAGCACAGGCAAGGCAAGCACTGCCTCTCCCACCACTGCCACTTTGGCACTGCCTGCTTCAGCCCTGCTAAAAGCCACCTGTGGGTTTGCAAGACCCCAGCTGAGCCTTTGGCAGTGGGAGACATGGAGATGAAGTGGTTTTGCCTTCCTCTCAGTCTAGCTCTGGCCTGGTGCAAAGCCCTCTGCAGTCCCTGGAAGACTTTGTGGAGGACCTCTGGCTGTTCTGCAGGTTTCTGCAGTGCTTCCATCTGCAGCATTCCTCCCCAAGATTCCCCTTCACTTATCACTGTTGTATTTTCCTGCCATGGAACAAGTGCCTTCCCAAAGCATGACCAGAGGCCGTGGGAGCACAGCCAGCCTCTCTGTGAGACCCACAACCAAACCTCTCCATTGTTCTTCCCAACAACCCCAGATGCTTTTCCCCAGCCCTGCCTCACAAGCAGCCTCTGAAATGACCCACATTTGGGAACCTCTGATTTAGCAGACACAAGACAGATCAGGCTCATTTTACCTGGTAATTCAGTGTAATTCACAGGACTGATACATTATTCATTGTGCCACTTGGTTCCTTCAAAAAATTATTGCCCTCTGGAGGGGAGAAGCCTGATACAATGAGAAATTCTTTAAGAGCAAGAGCAGGGACACCTGAGCAAACTCTCTTCCTTCAAGGAGTGCTGTGGGGGAATGTTCCTCATGCAGGAAGTTTTATTATTTTTCTTCCAATTCATTCCAGATGCTTACAAACAAAAGGGTTTTCCCCCCTTTTCCATTACTTTTGGAGACGGCACTTTGTTTGGAAGCCACAGATCAACATAATAAATGTTTCCTGGTGGGATTTTTTGACAGGCTGTGTATGTCAGCTCAGTGGCCCACTGAAAGCAAAGGTGTAAGTGAGCAGCTGCTCTTGGCCTGAGAATGGAGCTCTTTGCTAGGTGGGTTTGCCAGGGTCTGCCATGGCACGCCTTCACTCTGGCTCCAGTGGAGTGAGTGCTGCACTCACTCTGCCAGAGCCACATGGAAAGCAAAATCCCACTCTTCCCTCTTCCCATTCCCTGGATGGTTAAGAGGGCTAACATAACATAAAAAGGCCACCCCTCAGCCTTGTGAGGGTGCCAACTATGCACAGTCTGTCCCCCTACAGAAAGACAATTAACTTGCCTGGTGCCAGATAATCTCCATTTAGACTGCAGGGTGTGTTTGTTGTTGTGGGTGAGGATGGAGTATGGCCAGAGGGACAATACAGAGTATTTATTTATATACTTATGCAGAGAGGAGAGGAGTGAACAAGGACAGTCCTTGGCTCAAAAGATGGAACAGCAGCTGGAGCCTGGCCACACTGTGGGAATGGGTCACATTCTGCAGCAACTGAAGTTCCACTTTTCTTCCATACAGACACCCTTTCCTGGTGGGCAACACTTGCAGGTGGGGTGTAGACATACACAACCTGTGGCAGAACCAGCTGCTGGTTTCTCTGGGTCTGGATTGAAGGCACTTGAGATGGCAGGTCATGTTCAGACTCAGGTGTTCATTATTTCTTATCAGTAAAACAGCCTCACGACTGTGAGTTTGGCAGCTTTTCATTAGCAGAGCACAAAATGGGTAACAATCTCTGATTACACGTCTTTTAAGACTAAACTATCCAATTAAGAACTGACACCTGGATTATTTTCCCTTTTAACCCAATAACTGATCCCAAAGAGCCCACAATGGGGACTTTTCTGCCCAATTGCAAAATGCCACCCAAACCCATGAAGAAGAAGGAAAAAGAAGCATGAAGAAGAAGCCCAGGATGACACCCTGTGCCCTCCATCTTACTTCCATCCATAACATACTAAAAATCCCAAAGACCTAAATTTCTCACCAAGTGATACACCTACACTACTCTCTATAATTTCACATTTTTCTGGATTCCAGTCTATCTTGAAGTCTAGGGAACTTTCTCCATGAATGAGGGTCAAAGTCAGTGCTCCCCTGGAGGTCAGGGCACCCCAGAGCAGACAGAGAAATATTCCCAGAGCCCTGGGTTTCCACAACAACCCTTGAGTGGAACACAGACAATGCCACAGGTCAGGTTGGGAATAGGTATCTCAAGTAAGATTTAAAAGTTAGGAATTTCTCTCCTTCTCTAAAAGAGGCTGCAATATTATGACCATATTACTTCTCATCACCACAGGGTTGTCCCCATTCTGCATCTTGTAGCAGCATTTAAACCCACTTGCCAGACCCCAAACACACTCTGGGACACTCATACCTTCTTCCTCTTCTTTGCCTTCACAGCACTCTCTTGCTTTTCTTCAGGCTGACTTAAAAAACACTCTGTAGGCTGCAAAACACATTAAAAAAATAAGTAAGGAAAAAAGTCACCAAAGGAAGGCAAAGGAGGTAAGAGGAGATACAGAAAGGATAATGCTGGGCTAGGAAAAAACAACTAAAACTGAACTTCCCCACCCTTAGAAGGAATCAAATCCTTACAGTTATATGTATACAAAGTAATTTTGGAGTTGAGATTGCTGTTGCAACCAAGAGAGGGAATAAAAGAAGAGAAAATTGAAGCAATCAGGGTGTAGTCTTAATTCCATAAAATGGTGAAAAGCAGGTTTTGATACATAAAAAAAAAATCACGAGGTAAATATGAACAAAATTTACCACTAAATTTATATTTTTAATCTCCGCTATTGTGAATGATAATTTTTCTAAACTTTGCCAGTGGTGTTCTAAAATAACTTGGTCTAAGGTGAGCATCCAGACAGTAAAAATAACGTGGAACTGGGCAAGATTAATTAGAAACAATCATGGTCTGAAGTTCCTTCTACACTTGTAATACAAAATTTAGGAAAACATGTTTCAAATTTGTCCTACCCCATTCTTGCTTTGACTTTTCAGGGTCAAATATACACAAGAAAAATACATGATGCTATCATTAACCCTCTTGTGACTGAGTGAACAGGCTGAATTGGTCCATTTGTACCAGAGTCCCTGTTCACATAATCCAGGGCTAGGATTTGACCATAAACACCTAAAAAGAGGAAGCAAGGCACAGACTTCTCTTGTTTTGAGTGTAGCAATTCTCTTTTCTTTTGCCTTCTTGGGGCCTTCTACCTAATGGAAGTGTAGATTTCTCTGCACAGACAGGCTTTGGAACTTAGTAAGTGACTTGCTGAAGAGCAATGGGAAAATAGGCTGAGCTGCAGGAAAATGCTCCACGCCACGATGATGCATTTGGCTGCAAAACTCTGCTCTTGTGAGAAAATGTGGAGAAGACTCATCACATGGAGCATTCCAAAGCTCAGGAACAGCAAATCCAGCACTCCTCCCTGGGGAAAGGCTGAAGGAAAAGTATCAGCAGGAAAGGGAGCCTAGCTGAAAGCCAGAGGAGCTGCTCCTGTGTTGCCTTGGGAAGGCAGCTTCAGTCAGGCCAGGAGGGACAAAGGAAAGCAAAGAGGAGTTCAGAGTTTCTGGGCCTTTCTGAGCCCTCCCTGCACTGCCCCACCTTAGCAGGAGGACACTTCATGGCAACTGGTGCTAAATGACCCAACCCAGCACACTCCTGCCTGTCCAAGCCAACTCTCACAGCCTTATCAGGAGCATTTTTTGGGGGGTTTAATTATTTATATTATGTCTTCATTTCTCTCCCCCCCCCACTCCCTTTGCTAAATCAGCTATTAAAACAGGTAACCACCATGCTCAACACAAATAAATAACCTCTTTCTGTGCTGTGATGCCGCCCCAGCCACTGCCCTTGCCAAGGTGGGAGTATTGTACAGCAGTGGCTCTGAAACTGGTTGAGGATTGAAATGAAACTTAAGAATTACCAGAGAAGGTTTGGCTGGGGACTTGCTACAGCTAGCAAAGCACCCTACAGCTACAGCTGGAATGTCATGCAGCCTGCATCAAAACCCATGAGAAGTTGTGATAGGGATTATATCTTGCCTCAACAACAGAAATCTGTCCCTGTTATTTTCTCAGCTATAAACAAAATTATCTTCACTAGAAACGAAGGGAATGACTGCAAGTGGAAACTCACTTTAATTAACAAAAGTCTTCCAGAATTAATGTAAGTTTTCTTGCTTTATTTTTGGTTTGTGGCTATTTTAAAAATCTCTGTCCTGACTCTGATTAAAGTGTTTTTAAACCACCACCATACGTTTCTTCATTCCTATCCCTATACCATTAGCATTCCCAGACATTGAGACTGAAACAGAGCTACCCTCTGCTCTACTCTTACACATCCCAGCTGTCCAGAGATACTTAAAGGCCATTAGCCAGGTGTTTTAATCATAAATTTTATGTTCACCACCATCTTTTATGCAGAGAACAAGCTTTTGCATTGCTTCAGTCAAGGGCTACCTACAAGCAATCAAAAAGTCAGAGAAGGGCCAACCTGAAATTCTGTCCTCTAGTAGAGTTTGATGGTTCCCTATCCCAGTGCTGCTTCCAGCATACTGAAAAATGTCACTCATTCACTTTGGGCCCATTTCTCCCTTATACATCATGACCTGCTTTACATAACTCTGCAAACACTCCCAACTCGTATCAGTACGAGCAAAGAATGAAATGTGCCACACAGCTGAAAAAATTTCTCTGAAATAAAAAACTTCTCACTGTTAAGCCTTCATTCAAATATTTGAAAGTACCACCAAATGCCATGGCTTCCTTTTTGAAGGCAGTATGCAACCCTTTCTTTCAACAGCCACAGAAACAGCAGGTATCACAAGCACACAGCAGGCTTGTAGTAAAAGCCTTGCTTCCCTAGAGAGAAGCATGTTAAGACTCAAAATTGCCTCCTTTACACTGCATATATGTATTTAGGCATAGTATATTACGCCAAAATTATTAGCCCAGCAATAGCAAATCCATGTTATTCAGACATTAAAAATAGTGACATAAAAAGAGAAATTTTGTGGTGGTGAATGGCTGTAAACTTACATGTCTAAAATATTTCAGCATCTGATCTATCCTGAACTTCTGACCCTTATCCAAGCATTAGTTGCCTACCTACTCATGCAATAGCTCTTTGCATGCCACTCTTAGGAAAAGGTCATTTGCATGCTTTTCTTATGCAAGACACAAAGCAGACAACCACTGGTTTTTGACACTGCTCCCTCGTGCTCTGTGTTTTTATGCTATTTTTACATGGAAATTCTTAAAATGCAGAAAACAGGAAATTTGTGCCGAGACCAGTGATTTATGAACTGAAATGTCATAAATTCCTTGTTTGTTAATCATACACAGAGCATAAAATATTTCCTGTATTATATTTCTAACAAGCTTTTTTTTCTTTACACGTTGCCAAAGTGATGGGAAATTCAAATGTAGAGTGAAAACAGTCTTGCATGTGTGTGAAAGTTTACATTCCAGGTCAACCACATACTCTGACTTTTGGGGTTTGTGACAAAGTAAACACATCACTGCATCACTCAGACTGGAGAGAGATCACTCATTTCACTGTTAGCCTGAGGACAGCCTGCAGACATGGAACATGGATGCTCATTACTCTGTTGGGCTGTCTCGTGACAGGCTCTGAGGTGCCAAGTCCATTGCAGAAAAACTTCCAGCCTCTGAATAAGGCAGCATGAGTAAAATGGGTTTTGTTATTTGCCCCAGAACTACAAAACCACCAGCTTTCCACAAATAACTCTGATTTGGTATGTCTAAAAGACAGGCAATAACCCATCCATGACTTTAAGCTCCCATAAAGCGTTTCCCTCTTGCAGTTTCACATCTAAACATCAAATTACCTAATTCCAATATGCAGGCTGATATTCTTTATATGACAGAAAGAGCAGTGGCAGGTGTTCTGCTACAGCTGAGCAGTGCCAGGCTACCTTGCTAAGTAACTTGTGTTGGCTGTCCTTTCTAAGGTTCCCATAAAAAGGGTCAAGCAACCCTTCCAAACAAAGTCTTAACCTACTACTAAACGCCTAAGTGAAAATGGTGATAAAAGGTGGCTCCATGAGAATTCTCACTCCTCAGCATCTGACCCCCTGGCAGAGCATGTACAAAGGTGATAGAGCTTTCTCCTGTATAGCTTGGTTCTCTTTCCTAATCAAAACATTGATCTCATTCAAATATTTGGATCACTTTACCTCTGGTTTCTTTGGAAAGACATCCAGAAGCATAGTGATTGCTGTCACGTTGTTTACACTTCTCTGTTACAAAAAAAGAACATCCCTGCAAATGGCTTTCACTTGGGCAGTTGCCTAGGCATTACAGAGTGAATTTACTATTGACCTTGGGGTCAAAACTGATATCCATAACCTCAAGGAGAAAGAGCTTCCAATGTAATTTTAGCTCTCTGACAGCCACTCAGTCAATTCTCCTGGGTGGTATGAGGAAGGCAGAACAAATTTACCTTCAAACAAGAAACTTCATAAAATCAGCCAACCTCTAGATGACTTTTTCCCTCAAACTGGGGTGATGCTGATGTTCCTTGGCATACTCCACATAATGCTGAACAACACAGTTCCTCTTGGCATTAAATGAAGGTTTTAGCAGTGCAAGAATAAGAAAACATCAATCCATGAAGACCTAAATTCTTTTTCACTTGGACCCTGAACTGGGAACATGCTTGGGTAGATAATCTGTATAAGAAGTAAATATGGCTTTCCAGACTGTGTGTGTGCAGGGAAAGGGAAAAAATTGCAGGGGAGGATGCTCAGTAGCACCACCCAGGCTTGCACTACTGGACAGTCACTTTGTAGGACGGGCCTGGCAATCTCAACTCACACAAAACAAGTGTGAAGTTCTTGCTGAAATGTATTAGAGTGTGACCACTTCCAAATAAGGCAACAGAATTTAAAAAAAACCCCAAAACGGAACAGATCAGAGAGAGGGAAGAAAACTGTCCCTTTACTGACAAAAAGGATGTTATGTTTCCCTATGCATTATCATTGTTGTGCTAAATAATTACTTAATTTACAGACCTGCTTTCTTTTCTTTTTCACAGCAGGTTTGGAATCTGAATCTTGACGTGTTGCTGTCCTGTTTTCACTTGCTTTTTCAATAGCTTCATCATCTGAAGGATCTAATAAAAAACAAAGAAGAGTTCTTGCTACTGTTTTTCAAATCCATCTACCCATCTTTCCATTCAAAAACAGGCATAAAGTCTCTAGCTGAAACGTTGTCACCATAATACAATCTTATTATTGGCAATAAATACAGCTGTAACAAATGCATTCTTCTTGCTAAGTTTGCTGATACTTCTTTCAAAGTAAAGTTATTTCCTCCTACTAAAACAAGTCTTGCAGATGAAGGAAAAAAGATCCAAGAAAACACATACAAAAATGCACAAAATCCCCATTCCAAGCTCCCAAATGCCTTACTGACACACATTAAAGAGGAAAAATTACAAGACAGGTATAATATTCTATTGTATAAAAAATATGCACACTTCCTGCGAGGACATTTTAATTATGCTTCTTACTTCAGCAATAATTAGACAAAGGCACCACTCCCAAACTTTGAGCAGAATGTCCACAAGACTAATACACACTTATGTTTTAAAAGACAACTAATTAAATTCAGGTGTCTCTACCCGTTCTCTTCTTCATCTCTTTTATCTACAGGGAGACTTTGGGGAAAAAATAAATGCACAGCAACAGCTCCCTCCAACAGGGTAATAATAGTGCTTTAGATGTATTCAAACACAGACTTTTCTATTAGGAACTGAGTTACTTCCCTGACTATTGCCAGAAGTGTTTTCATCCATCAAACGGAATTAATTCAGCTTCTGTAATTGGAATATATCTGCCCAACAGGTATTCTGTCATTACTGCAATCCCCTGTATTCCAAAGCTGTAAATTCACAGCTTCAAGATTAAGTTATTTATTTTTGAAAAGGGAGGAATAGAAGGATTTTTTAAGCATCACCTGAAGTATAGATGATATATCTATGCATTACTAGTTGTGAACAGAGTAAATTGATGGCCAGAGAATGTGAGAGAGAGAGAAAATCACTTATAGCTGGTATTTACAAATTTCATGTTGAAATAGCTATTGACTGAAAAAAAGTAAGTGAAAGGATATGTGAGAAATATGCGAAAGAATTTAAGTGAAAGGTAAGTAAAGGGATGAAAGATGGGAGGGAAGAACCTGTATTAATGCACAAATGTAACATTATATATTATGTGGCAATCAGGCAGTGGCTTTAAAAATCCCAATGTGACAGAATGGGTAACAAAATGGGTACATATTTATTCCTAGAAAGACACCATCTCATAACCTTCACTCCTTTTTCCCATCTTGAAAAGCCTGTGTAACTGTCAACACCCTAAATTTGGGGTCTGACAGCTCTTAGGAGTTCAAGAAAGTTTAAGAAGTTGAAAGATAGTAAAGAAAATCAGCTTTGTTTTAGCAGGTTGGATGCCATTTGCCATGAAATCTTACTTGGTATAGATTCTTGGCAAACCACAAGGCCTTTAGAAAGAGAGGAGCAACTGAGAAGAAAATTTGTTTTCCTTTCAGTAAGAGACTAAGAGACTCCCAAGTGAAGAGGGTAGATAAATACGTTAATGAACTTAATTAAAACCAAAATAAATGCCATGGAAGAAATGACAGCACTTGTTTGCATCTCTGTATAGAATGAAGTCATTCTGAAATCTTAAAATAGAAATTCACCAAGAAAAGCCCTCGCTTTCCAGCTCTAGAGCAAATGCAGGAATCTGTGCAGCAAGTGAACATCACAGCTCAGCTGAGCTGTGGGTTTCACTCTCCTTGCAGGCACAGCCTCAATCAGAGCTGAATGGACTGTGGCCACACGAGGGCCAGAGCCCAGGCAGAAATGATGAGCCTAGTCCTCTACAGCCCAACACGTGGCAGCAGGTGGACAAGGCAACAAAGAAAGCTCAAGGTTTGTTGGTCAAAGCTTTTTATTACATTACAGAGCAAATATCTTTCTCTTGAGGCTGTCCAAGTGCTCCTGTACCATTGTTCCAGATTGCAAGGCAAGATGTATTCTATTACCATCTGTGTGGCAGTTGTCTTTGGTCAAGTGGGCAGTTTTCCTTATCTCTCTCTGAATGATCACAACCACTCCTCCCTCAGGAGGGGACATCTGCTGATAACAGGCTATTGAATGTCACTGCATCAGTGATAAGAACTATAACATCCCATTGGGAGACATGAGCCCAGAGGGAGGAGCCAAGCATTCCTACCCAGATATAATCTGGAGGGACTGGAATAACTGCACGGCTTCTCCACTGGATTTCCCAGAGGAACAGCTGCCTCTTCCACTGGATCTTCAGAGGAAGACTACACCCTTTTCTACAGGATCTCTGCTCCAGCAGAATCACACCTGACACTCCAGGAGGGCTGCAGTCACATCTCCAATTGGACTGCTACCAACACCCTGACCAACAGGGTGTCAGGTTGGGTTCTGACTCTGTCAGTGTTATTCTAGTGTACTGCATTGTGCATTTTATCCTTTTATTTTCTTCCCTATTAAAGAACTGTTATTTCCTGCTCCCATCTTTTTTGCCTCAGAGCCTTTTAATTTAAAATTTATAGCAGTTCGGAGGGGTGGGGAGGGTTTACATTTTCTATTTCAGGGGAGGCTCCTGCCTCCCTTAGCAGACTTCCAGACCGAGACAACCATATGGCTGTCCCTGCACAGCAGCAGATCTTTCCTGCCTACTGCTCTCCAAAGTCACTTAACACTTATGTCCCCCAGCCACTTTGGAATCTCAGATACAACACTATGCTAGAAGATGCTGAAAAATCACATCCTTCAGCATACTCCAGAAAGTTCAAAAGGTGTCTTGGCAATTCAGGGTTACCGCTGGCCATTACCATGGCCTTGTTGCCCTGTGGATCACCCTTTCTCTGGCAAATTTATTGTGCTGTATATTGGTAGAGCAGCTTCTGTATTTAAAGGACCCATCACTGACTTCTCTCTCATTTGCCCTGACTCCAGAGGTACCGAAAGAGCAGCCAACTTTAACACACACCAGCTCCACACCCCTGGGGTCTTGGACACACTGCATTGAAGCAGGCTGTGGAGAGATGATATAAATGAAGTACATCAAAGAAATCAGAATTGTCTCTTCATCCCTCCTGCTCACTGTGCTTGAGCCCCAAACACCCACTCCAAAATGAATCTGCACATGTTTCACTGAAATGAACTGCTGTGTGAGCTCTTTCCAATGTTTCACATTGAAAATAAATTAGAATTGCATCAAATAGATTCAGGGGAAGCTGCCTGTGATCTGCAAGCATTCCTTCTGAAATCCCACTTGGCATGCTCTGAAAGGCAAACAGGAGTTGTGTAAGTCTTAAATAACCTCTTCTCTCTCACAACTGAAAGACACGCTGCTAGCAATAGCAATCTAAAACTGGACAAATGGTTTCCATGATCTGAAATAGCCTGACAATGTGCCACCTGTTCACTGCTCATTTGAGTTTTGGACAGCACTTCATGGTGCAACGTCCTCTGCTCTCAGCAAGAAGTGAGAGAAGAGGGCACAGACTCAGACTCAACAAACATCAGATCAAATTTGAGCATCTTTCTGCAGTATCTTTATTTCAGACAACTGGAGAACTTTCTATCTATTCCAGAAACAATCACCCACATCCCAGTCAGGACAGCAGCTCATCTCAAGCTGTAATTGCTTGTGACACCATGTCAGCTCCTGTGATGACAGCAGCATTTTGTTACAGGCATCAAAGTACCACAGGCCAGACTCTGCCAAGCATGCTCACATTAAACTGTGTACCTTTCTCTGCAAATAGTTACCTTGATGTCAGTGGGGTTACTCACAAAATAAATCATAACTTGATGCAAATCTATGCAGAAGCTCAGAGATCAGAGCACATCTGTAACAGACCAGCACTGTTTGCCCTGCTCTGAGGTGTTGAGCTTCCCAGGAGACCTCTCTCTGCCAGAACAGGAGAATTCAGAAATCCTTCCTTAATAATAAGCTGGTGAAAATGCAGAACCTAACTGATTAATACAAAGTTGACTTTCATCTGGCTTGAGGTGCAAAGGAGGGGGCAGGCAGGCGCTGACAGGACACACTGCTTGCAGGGTAATGCTGTTGAGCACAGCAATTCTCTGCCTCTGCTTCCCTGAGACTTACACCATTTACACAGCCACAAGGTCGTCCAAGGCATCAGAACATCACAAAATGCTCTCAAATAAAGAAAAATAAATGGGAATTCCACAACTCTCCACGTGTTTTGCTTTGGTATTACATCAGCAGCATGGCACATACTAACAGGCTTCCCAGTCATGAAGCATTTATATTTGATCTTATTTTGAACCATGCAAAAATGGAAAAAAGCCATTTCTGCTTCACAAATGCACACACACACACAGAGACTTTTTCATTTATATCAATCACTGTTTAAAATCATCCAGTGTGCTGGTTTGTAACTTCTTTCAAATTTAGTACTAACATATGCATGTAGTCTAAGCACATCAATATGTGTACTAATTATACACATGTAAACACTCCTATTAATACATACACATCTGTATGTTTATACACATTCACATAAAAAGTACAGAGATATTTGGATAATTTAACAGGCTCTCTCTAATAATCACCTTTATTAACTAATATATTCACAATGAATTAATATTTTTTCATTATTTACTGTGGTATTTTTAAAGGCAAACAAGACCTTAATGATATAGGATGTAATGACATGTGCTTTGATGTGAATGCAATTTTGTTCATACAAAATAGCTGGTACATACAAATTTGCATTTGCTGGGCTGATTCACCATTTCTGAGACTTCTGACCTTCACATGCCACTTTTCTACTCTGAAATTATTAACATAGGAGTTATAATGACAACGACATAAATAATTAATTCCTGTAAGAACCAAGGCTGACTGAAAAAGTGAAACTCTTCAAGGCAGAACAATTTCAAATGCCCCAAAATAAACAAAAAGTTATGACTGAAAATAATCTTAAAATTCTTTGGGAAATGCAGCTTGTGGTTCAAGCCAGCCTACGTCTGAAATAAAGATAAATGCAGCTCACAGAAATGATGCCAGCCATGGGAAGCCTGTTACAAGACAG